CAATAGTTTAAAAATTATGATTGACCAATTTAAATTTAAATGTATATATTAGCTCCTATGAGAGCAAATGTAAACAAACAAAAACTTCTGATATCAAATAAAAACACCTCTTAACGAGGTAAAAAACTAGTGACGACCGCACCTTCAACATACAAAAGTTCTGATATCAACATTTGTGACGAAAAATTATTACACTCGTCATTAAATAGACTTTCTAATCTTTTCTCATTCGTCACGCTGCAATAGAAAATGCCCGTAAAGGGAAAAAGGCTGGAATAGTTTGCTAGGGCGGGCCGAATGAGAAAAGATTAGAAAGTCTATTTAATGACGAGTGTAATAATTTTTCGTCACAAATGTTGATATCAGAACTTTTGTATGTTGAAGGTGCGGTCGTCACTAGTTTTTTACCTCGTTAAGAGGTGTTTTTATTTGATACACATTGTACATGAAAACCTTTGTACCTTCCCCTACCCACCGACTTGGAACTTTTTATCTCGGTGTATAGTTGCGGGTAGCAATTTAGCCTGCAGGCCTGAAGGTTAAGTGCAAAGGGTCTCTGACTCGGAGCCCAACCTCCCACACTCGCGATTGCAACTTGGTAATGAGGCTGCCATGAATCATCCAAGCGGCTTGGCATCATTAGCGATTCTCCAAGCCGGATTAGCCCAGTGCCGTGCTCTCTCTTATTTCTCACCATTTGTTCTTCTGCATTATAGCCCTATTGTGGGCCGCAGTTTCACTTGTGGCCAAAAGGTCAGGCCGTGCGATTAGAACGAAGAGCTTTCCAAGTGCCGAGTGCGGTAATGGGAACTCATTATCCATCCGTACGACCATACACATGCGTTGAACCCAGAGAGTGTGTTAACCCTAATAAATCAGAATTGTTTATGTGCGTGGTCAGTCGAAATGTTGGTTATCTGGAGACAAACCCTCGAATGAAATGCAATTGTCTTTCAAAACTTTTCAGGGAACTTTATGGGCTGTCGAGAATAATTTCGATTATTGCTGTCTGTTTTGCATTCAAATTGTAAATTTGAGGTGGAAACGCTTCGTGATTCGTGATGGGCTTGTAGAAAATTCCGGGAACAGAAAATTTTTAAATTTTTTGGTGATTTTTTAAAATGTATTTAATTTAATTCATTTAATGATATTTAATAGTTAAAAGAAACTAAAAAACGGAATGTTTTGATCGAAGATAGATTTTTACAAATACAAATATCTACACGAATTTACGTGTATGCGATGATTAGTTGATCCAAACTTTGGATTTTAAAGTACCACATTTTACATAGTCAAATTGTCAATTTAAAAAATTAACTCATAATCAAAAAAAAGTAAATTAATTGATCTCTTAAAATAATTACTCAGAAATATAAAAATGTAAAAATAATGTAATGTACAATGTAAATTTTGCAAGCCTTGCCCAAAAGTATGCCACGTATAATGCTTGTATAAACAGAAAAGTGAATTACATTTTACATTTCCATTCTGACTGCAAAAAAAACCTAGGACTAAAACTAACTTTTATTAAAAAAAATGTAAGCAAAAAAAAAACGACTATTAAATGTTGTATTGGTAATTAAATTTATATTTCAAAAATAAAAGTTATTTTAAGACTTTTGTTTCTTCCTTTTATATTTATACCCTTACAGAGGGTATTATAACTTCAGTCAAATGTTTGCAACGTAGTGAAGGAGAGGTTTCCGACCACATAAAGTAAATACTTATATTCTTGATCAGCACCGATAGCCGAGTCCATCTAGCCATGTCTGTCTGTCCGTCTGTCTGTTTGATTTAAGAACCATGTGCTAAAATAATAAAGATTCGTTCTTATTTCAAGAACATTTTAAACTCAACTAGATTTTAAGAACCAATTCAACTTAATTCAAGCACATTTAAAACATTTTGAACTTGAAAAAGGGTTTCTATTTTTAAGAACATTTTCAACTCAGATGAGAACGAATTTTCTCTGTGTAACACCATTTCGTTCTGATGTTGAGAACATTCGACTCGAGATGAGAACATTTGTGCTTACCCGGTTTTTAAGAACGAATGTTCTTAATTTGAGTGCAATGTTCTTGTTTTTTTCTTTGTGTAATTAATAGAACTATAACGAAGGTAAATTGTGTGTACTAACAGTTAACAACCTTAGACCGTTTTCTCGTCCGCCTGTTAAATTTAAAGTAGGGTTAAAACTCTGATTTCCCATACGATTTTATGGTTTTAACCCTACTTTAAAATTAACAAACGTTTGACACTCACCCAATATTTTCGATTGGTAAACTAAAGAAAACTAAAATAACGCTCGTTCTGTAATCTGAATATGGTCAACTGCTGAGGAAATACTATTGAAAATACTATGGGCAGGCAATATGCAATGTATCTATACATCACCATCACATTGTTATCAAAAATTGTATTGTCATAAGAACTGTTAATTCTATCTTTTAATACTTATAATTGTTAAGGTAATCTATTGTGCAGTCCTGCGCCTCCTTGTGGGAATATTTTCCGAGCATTATATATTTCGTCCAGCCAACAACAAAACAAAGGAACAAGAGTACATGCAAAACAGAGGCCCACATTTTGCTCGTCAGCACTGGGCTGCGTGTGTAGAATCGCTCTCAAGGTCAAGGTGGATTGGTGACTGGGTCAACGTCAACTAAAAAACCACTCGAGTGTGAATGCAATTGCGTGTCCCATCCCTTTGATCCGATTGGTTGAATGACACGTTTCTGGGTCACAAGGAAGCTGAAGCCCAAATTTATTGAGTGCGAATTGAAAGTGATTCTGAGTTTAGTCTAGAAAAGTGTCTGACATAACCGGTTTTCCAGCAAACGGTGTTAATTATATTTCTCAATCTTATTTATTACCTATTATCTTGATAATGGAATTTGCCATAATTTTTGGTGACATTTTTTCCGCTCACCTTTGCACTTTCCCACATGTGCTTAGTCACTTGGATAATTAACACTACGGCTGGTGTATACGAAATATCAAAGTCAGGTGGGAATTGCTAGGAACAACAACAAGGTAAATAAAACAATGAGATTTAAAAAATGTGTTTCTTCCTCCTTTTTGCATTTCACTACGCGTTTGTCATTATTCTCAGCCGTCTTTTGTACAGATACATATACACTCAGAGATGTATTTATAACCACATTTACCCGTATTGTGAGCTAGACGTGACAACAGGCTTAAGAATCGGCGAAGAGGCTTTTGTATAACAAATAAGACTTCCCATCGAGCTCCCCGATACTTCCCCATAGCTCTATTTGTTTGTGTTCAGGGCCATTGTAAACAGTTTAAGAGTTCAGTATGTTCCGATCGCGGTGCAAAGTATGGCCCAGCTAAGTGCTTTAGTTTCCCCGCAAATTTATCTGTAGATAACTGACACACAGAGAAAAATATCCACGTTCTTGAATATCAGTTCGATATTTAGTATGTTGGTATAACCAGGGGCGTAGGCACGAGGGATAGGGGTGTTCTCTCGGGTGCAATATAGTTTTCAGAAGTGTGCCACACAACATATTTACTGAAACCACCCAATCAAATCCAATAAACTACGTGGCATAAAAATTCCACCAAATTGGTAGACTTTCGCTTGGATGCTCAATGGAATCCTATCTAGACAGGTATATCAAGAATCTAGTAGATCTATGCTGGAACCCGTTCGGTCCATGAATAATTCATTTCAAGAGTGAGGAGAGTATTCCGGTCAACAACAAGTAAAAGTATTTTCTACATCGACTAGACTATGCAGTTTTAATCCACTGCTAATAAGCAAACATGCTAGCTTTTTTAAAGATCGATGCAAACTGAGTCAGTAGTTGGAAGGTCAATTAGCAGTGGAACTGCCGATTACTTGAGATGTGAAGTAAACTTATCAGATGAAAAGATAATTTAAATCTGAAATTCAAATTAAATTTAAATAATTTAATAACAAAAGTGTAATATCGAATGTGCTTTGCCTAACCAAAACTATCAATTTAATTCCTAAATAAATTTGCAATATGCCAATTTAACATTTAAATTAAGTTTCAATTGCATATATAATATAAAAATATTTGAGACACTTATTATATGATTTATAAACTTAGGGTATTGTAGCATTCTATTTCTTTTGAAACTCATTTTAAAATTAAACCACTTGTTAGTTCAATAAGAAGCTAATCATTTTGTTAGATAGAGTATTCCAACAGCCAGGTCTTTTTGATTTCGACCAGCCTTATAAGCACATTATCTCACTAAAATAGACACTTAAAGCGTCACATACATTTTTAATTAGAGGCGGAGACATTTTCACGAGCACTGGTAATGTGGTTTACTTGGCCAGCTTGCCTTGTTACGGTTTTAAGAAGACTTATATTCTATTTATCCCAAGGTTCTCACTGCAAAAGGAAGCTGCACGAATCTACAATTTTATGAGGTCCAAAGAGCTAGCTTCAAAAAGATTTCAAAGCGGGTTCCGCGGATCTTTGTCTCGTTAGGCTAAGATTTAAGATTATTTCTACCTATAAGCAATTAGAAGTTATTAATTTCTTTCGAAAACCGCAATCAGGGTTGTTTTGTGGTCGCTTAACAGAAGGTTAACCATATGTGAAGTTCATCAGGTGATACCCTAAACGCTCGTTTTGAAATTTTGCACCTCAGCGTACAGGCGATTGCGAAAATAGAATTGCCTAATTGCTTTTTATGGCACTCGGCAAAGAGGCAAACAAATCGAAATCTTGCACAGTAGTCAAAGAAGTAAAGAAGAGAGGACCCAAAAGGCGGCATTTCAATCGGTCAGTCAGTCACTGAGCCCAAGCCTCTCGGACCCATCAGATACTATATACTCAGATCGGCAAAGTTGAAGTTCTCTGCCGGCGCAGACGTCGACGGCGGGACTTGAGCTCGGCTTGGTTTGCATCTCGTTTCATTTTCCGCTGCGATCTGCAGCTTAGGGGCTTTAAAATCAGCGATCGACCGGCAACCAGCTCGCAGTTTAAGTTCTCAGCTTCGCGTTGACGGACGTTCCACCACTTGAATCACAAATAGTTCATAACTTTATAGTTTCCGACTCCGTTGCGTGTTGCTGCAGATTACTTTTCGTATTCTTTAAATTGTTCTTGAGTGATTCCTCTGCGCAAAATGATTAAATCCGTGTGCTTAATAATTCTGATCCAAGCGCTTTGGACAGTACAGGCTGAATCCCGTAAGTTTGGGTGTAGTGTTCTTAAAATATCAAGAAATATCACGTGGAACTTATCTAATATCTGTAAACTAACGAATGTTTTATTGTGCTACCATGATTAACCGCTCTCTAGGGAATGAGTGAACACTTTAGAGTCACATACATTACTCACTTATTATAATTATAGAAAACTATAGTTTTCTCAATTTGTAAAACCTCTCTCTTTAATTATTTTCTTTCTTAAAATTGGATATTTTTCAAATTATTGAACATCAATCTTCTAGTAATTTAGTTAAATAATTACTATTAGTCAGGGCAAAAAGCATAAATAGTATTCCGGTTAAATGTAAGTGACTCGGAGATTCTAGCAATTCGTGGCAGTTTTCTCCCAACTTTGTATTTAAATTGTTAAAATTTCTCTAAACTTTACGACGAGTGGTGATCTATTAACCGCAAATTGCACCCAACAATGATATTCATTTCGCTTAAAATCGATTTGTTTAAAAAATCTTTAAGTGGTGTGAGAAATTTTATTTTACAGTTTTAAAAGTTTGCCAACTCTTGACTTGGATATTATCTCACTGATTGAATTAGCACTTTCGTTGGCTTTTCACACCTTTTGTGTACAAAGAATGCAGCCGCATCTTCTGGAATATGTCAAATGTCAAGTTTGCCACCAGTTCCCCAAATCTACTCAATACGTGTTAATTGCATGGAGCGACACGGTTTTGTTTGACAAATGAGCGAAACAAAACAAAAAGGGGGACAAAGCCCCGGCTTTTCAGCCGTGGAGTCTCCACGAAGATTCGCTTCCGCATCGCACTCGAAATGCTGGGCATCCGAATGTATGTAAGCACTAAAAATGCAGACTATGAACCAAATCCATATTTAATTAACGCGAGCCGTGGCCGTTGAACAGCCTTCAACTTGAAATTTTAATCGCTCCCGCTGCAGCTCGCCTTGCCATCGAATGTCGCTAATAATACTGCCAGGCATAATAATAATAAGTTAATGATAAACCAGTAGCCCCGAATGTGTGTCATGTGCCACAGAATCGCGGCTCCAACAGGTTCTAGAGGTGCACTTCTTGGCAACCTTGCTGTCGAAACTAAACTGAAAATGAAACTGAAACCGAAACCGAATCGAGATCTTGATTTTGATCTCGTTCGGTTTGGAGGCCGCTGTGGCTTCGAGTTTTTTCCTTTTGAGCTCGTCTGCAGAGTCGATGAACTTTACAGGAATTGAATCTGTGGTTGTTGTTGATCTTCCATTTTGTTGGCACTTCTCACTGTTTTTCTTCCGATTGAGCCTGAGCTTAAGAATACGAAAATTAAATATGGGTGTTACTTGAAAAAGTCAATATTAAAGATCATTAGCCAATTAATGAAGGTCCATGGTGATTTAATTTGTATTCCATTTCCTATCAAGGCAGAAGAGCTATTTACAATATTAATATTACCATGACTCTAATTACTCTCTCCGTTTTTTTTACAGCCGCCTATATTAAACAATGCCGCAGGGATGATCCGAAATTGGTAGACTGTTTTATTGGAGCAATTGAACACCTGAAGCCCTACCTGGCAAATGGCATTCCCGATATCCAGGTAAGAGACTTTTCTCCTGTAGTTCACTGAGTTATTGCACTTTGCATTTGTTTTTCTCTGTTGCGTTTTCTTTGTAAACGAGTTTTCTGTTGCATAATAAGCAAATCAAATGAAAGTCACTGGGACTTTCGCACTTGCATAATGAGTATTTTCGCGGGAAAAAGCGGCGAAGGTGGTGTGGTTAACTCTCTGCACAGTGGTTCAACCAACTTGAGTATTTTTGTGCAATTCAAGTGTAACGAAAACTTCATAGTTAAAATTAAAAAGCTCTGTTAGATTTGAATTTTTTGAATTCTGTAGGAGGTATGTCATTTTACTCTACTTTTCCTTTTTCAGCTGCCGTCTGTGGAGCCTTTCAAGATGGATACTCTGGCCTTGCAGTTAACAGAGGGTCCCCAGGGATATAAGATCACCCTGAAGAACATGGAGGCCTTCGGGGCGAGCAACTTCCAGGTGAAATCCCTGAAACTGAGCGAAGGCAGCGAGCCCTTCAAGGCGAAAATCGTGATGCCCAAGCTGAAGATCGAGGCTAAGTACACCAGCTCCGGGGTCCTTTTGATCCTGCCAGCCTCCGGAGGGGGAGACTTCCACGCCAATTTCGAGGGTGTGAGTGCCGATCTCACGGGAAAGACTTCGATCCACGCGTCCAAAGGCGTAAACTATCTTCACATCGATGCTCTCAGCTTGGTTCTTGATGTGAAGGATGTCAAAATGAGCATCTCCGGCGCCTTTAATAACAACCGTATTCTGCGTAAGTCTCCTCTTGTTTTCCTACCAAAGATTGTGATGATAAAATCCTATTTGTTCCGCAGTGGAGGCCACCAATCTTTTCTTGCGCGAAAACTCTCAAGTGGTTTTGGAGGCCATGCAGGCGCAACTGCAGAAGAAGCTGGCCAGTGAATTTGGAAAACTCGCCAACCAGTTGCTAAAGAATGTTCCTATCGAGCAGTTCTACGTGGACTAGATTTAAGTGTTATAGATCCTAGCTAGTTAGTCTAAGCTAAGATTCAATAAGTGTAAATTACTCTAATGCTATGAACGATATGCACGATTTCTATAGCAAGCAGACATAGTGATAATGGCAAAGTCTGCGGGAATCCGTCAAAACATGATCAAATACAAATGATGCATAACTACATGGAAATAATACGAAGTATTATTAGAAACTAAAACGCCGTGATATTCTTTGTGCACAAAAATAGACCAAGCTAAAAAATGATAGCCAGATAAATTTTAAAGTTATACTTTTGATTGGCATGCAGACGTTGAATATGTTATTATTTGGTAATACACACATTAAATACATATGTACATTGTACAATTTATAAGATCATTTATTAAAAATGTTTTCCTTAAATATTTAAAAGTTGATATTAAAACAAGAAAAAACGCTATAGTCGAGTACTTCGACTATCAGATACCCGTTACTCAGCTAAAGGAAGTGCGAGGGAGATAGATATATAAACAATTTTGATTGCGTATAAACGGTTCGATTTGAAAAATGTCTTCTACATTTCTATAGGTATAAGTATACACAACAAAATTGCACTTATACTTCTCGGATATATTTAAAGATCTGGGCGCAGGACACATTTTAAAATCGTTAGTGGGCGATTGTGGGCGTTAAAGGGGGCGTGGCGCTCGGCTGAAATAAACTTGCGCTGCGTAGGAGGCCCAAGAATAAGTGTGGAAAATCTTAGCCTTCCAGCTTTTGTACTTTCCGAGATTTCAGCGTTCATACGGACAGACAGGCAGACGGGCATGGCTAGATCGACTCCTGATCAAGAATATATATACTTTATGGGGTCGGACACGCTTCCTTCTAGCTGTTACATACTTTTGCACGAATACAATATACCCTTTTACTCTACGAGTAACGGGTATAATAAAATGAAACGTAAGAAAAAGTTCTAGTTCAAAATCCAAACTTATTTGTTTTGCGCCATCTATCGGTCAAATACTGATTTAAATTCGTTAAAAAAAAATTTAAAATTCGCCTAGATTCGAACTCGCCCCGAATTTTTCCGTTTTTCCGATAAATTTCCGGTCGTGGCCAGAGCGGCAACGAAATTTGAAACACAGGTGTCGCTATTGACGCAGATATTAATTCATATTTAAATATGGATAACGGTTTGTGTCCACGTCCATGGTTTGCGTCCACGGGACTCATATGAATAAATATTTAACTAAGGTTAATGGTTTGTGTCCATGTCAACGGCTTGTGTCCATGACCATGGCTTGTGTCCATGGTACTCAAATGGATAAATATTTAACTTAGGATAATGGATTGTGTCCATGTCTGCGGTTTGTGTCCATGGCCCTCTTATGGATAAATATTTAACTAAGGATAATGGTTTGTGTCCATGGCCCTCATATGGATAAATATTTTACTAAGGATAATGGTTTGTGTCCATGTCCATGGTTTGTGACCATGGTACTCATATGGATAATATTTAACTAAGGATAATGGTTTGTGTCCATGTCCATGGTTTGTGTCCATGGTCCTAAAATGGATAAATTGTTAAGGGGCTGTCCATATATTACGTAATCAAGTTTTTGGTGATTTTTGACCCCCTCCCCCCCCTGGTGATCAAACGTAATCATTCAATAAACAACCCCCCCCCCCCAATGATTACGTAATCCCCAGAATAAATTTTTTTTTGTTTTAATCTGTGGATTCAAACGGAGATGCAACCCAATCTTTAATATTGTTTATAAATGAAGTTTGGTATGACACATTCGGTTCGTCTACGCTGATATTATCCCCAACATACTCTTCGTCAAGCCATTCCAGGTCTTCGCGTCCTTCGTGTGATTGAACCACTAAACATTCTTTTTTTCGCCGCCCAGCCACTACAAAAATTTTTTTCTCTGCTTTCCTATTTAAGTTTGTAGCAGGGACCGTAACTGTTATAAGTTTTATTTTAAAAATCACACCTTAACAGTTATTTTCTGATTTGTAAAGTAAAACTCAAGGAATAACCAGGGATCGCAAGTAAGAGTTACTTTTTTAAAAAAATTGACAAATAAGTTTTATTTTTCAATTTTTATTATAAAAGTTGACAAATAACTCTTATTTGTTAATTTTTATAATAAAAATTGAAGCATAAGAGTTATTTGTCAACTTTTATAATAAAAATTGAAAATAAAGATTGAATTGATATAACTCTTGAACTGTACGGTACATTGGTTTAAAATTTATATATATATAATCTACGCTTTAATACCTTTCTGTTGATATGCCATATGTCCCCAAAATATTTTTTATAATAATAATATTTGTTACATCATAAAAAATATTTTGGGGACATATGGCATATCAACAGAAAGGTATTAAAGCGTAGATTATATATTTTTAAATTTTAAACCAATGTACCCCACAGTTTAAGAGTTATTTCAATTCAATCTTTATTTTATTATAAAAGTTGACAAATAACTCTTATTTGTTGATTTTTATAATAAAAATTGAAGCATAAGAGTTATTTGTCAACTTTTATAATAAAAATTGAAGCATAAGACTTATTTGTCAACTTTTATAATAGAAATTGAAAAATAAAACTTATTTGTCAATTTTTTTAAAAAAGTAACTCTTACTTGCGATCCCTGGGAATAACTGTTATTTTTTGAGTTTTATAATAAAATTTGGCAAATAACAGTTATTCGTCGTGATCAAAAATAAAACTCAAACATGATTTATGGCGATTTTGTGGGTAAAATAAATTTAAAAAAAATATAGGTATAAAATATGCACGGTTGCCTTTTTTAACAAATTTTTAGTAAGTTATATAAAACACGGGAATCATGTTTTTTTTAATTATTTCATTTTTTCAAAAATGTCAAGGGAATAACTGTTATTCATAAAAATCAAAAAATAACAGTTATTTTTTGAGTTTTATTATAAAAATCAAAAAATAAAAATCATTACGGATTTGTAAACTACAATGCGTGATTTTTTTGTATGAAAAATTTACAATAACACTTATTTTTGGTCACTGGTTTGTAGATAAATTTAAAGGAAAAAAGTTTTTAAATAAATTCTTTAAATAAAAAAATTAATATAAAATGATTACGTAATCATTGTACAAGACCCCCCTCCCCATGTAATCAAACATAATCATTTCAATGACCCCCTCCCCCCCTAGGTGATTACGTAATATATGGACAGCCCCTAACTTAGGGAATGGTTTGTGTCCATGTCCATGGTTTCTGTCAATGACCGTGGTTTGTGTCCATGGTACTGAAATGGATAAATATTTAACTAAGGAAAATGGTTTGTGTTCATGTCCACGGTTTGTGTCCATGGTACTCAAATGGATAAATATTTAACTAAGGATAATGGATTGTGGTCCACGTCCAACGTTTGTGTCCATGACCATGGTTTTTGTCCATGGTCCTCATAGGGACAAATATTTAACTAAGGATAATGGTTTGTTTCCATGTCCATGGCTTGTGTCCATGGTACTCATATGGATATTATTCCGAATCTTATTTCGGTTCCGGTTCCAGTTCCGGTACTGGTCGAGAGAGGCCAATAGGTGGCTAAAGTCTTGATGCCGATCAAGAATATGTATACTTTATGTGGTCGAAAACGTCTCCTTCACTGCGTTGCAAACATCTGACTGAAATTATAATACCCTCTGCAAGGGTATAAAAATACTAGACTTAGCTGCAACCCAAAGAACAGAACATTAGATCTTTGGCTGTGTATGTGCAGAAGTGGTGTGCCAATAACAAGTTATAAATGGAAGGAAATCCCCAAAAACCAATGGAAAACTGACTGGAGGAGTTGCGGCAACATACATCGCTAAGCCAACAGGAAATTTAAAGCTGGCGACCGAGGTCGGCTCAACATTTTGTAATATTTCAAAATTGGCGCCAGTTAATTTGTTTGCTGTTTGTGAACCCAGCTGGTTTACAATAAGACCATGCTACGGCTAGTGAAACTCTTACTTCGTTGTGAAACTGAAACTGTAGCGCTTGCTCAGAGAAAGATACTTTTTTAGCGCCATCTGTTGGTCATTCTGGGAGAGAGTACTGCGTTGCCACTAGTGCGAGGTATAGGAAGGATACCGCGGGAGAGCAACAGTGCCTGAATTGTTCGTCATAGAACTGCACCGGGCCAAAAGGAATTGCATCCAGCGAATCCAGAGAAGAAATAAGGCGACGAACTACCATCGAGCCAATTATCTGAGGCGAAAAAAAAACCCAGGCGCAATCGAACATAGTCGCCAGTTTCGCGGTGCTCTGAAGGTTTACGCAACATCGCCGCCACGATCTGCGGTTAAAAATTATTTTGGGAGCTTAAAAATACCTTCATTTGAGCCGAAGAGACTCGTCGTTCCGGCCAAATCACGACCTGGGAGTCGTCCGGGAGTAGCCGCCACGGAAAGGCGAAAAAAAATTTGTTTTAAAAGTTGGTCAAGGTTATGTAATAAGTTCGTCGAAAGAAAAAGGGTAAGTTTATTTTGTTCTGTGTTAGTGTTGTTTGGGGACTTACTTTGATTTAAACCCCAGTTTAGGTGCTGCAGTTCAAAGGATGCCCCAAAGTCTCAATACTCCTGGCCCATGAAGTTCACTTTTTCTGTGTTTGTGTGCTCTTTCTTTTTGTTATTATCCCTATTTAGCCTTCATCGAGTCGACTAATGCGCTTTTAATAAAACATCTATTTAAAACCCCTTTGAATAGGCGACAATCGAAAAAAAAAACCCATAATTTAACTTCAAAAGAAAAGAACAAAAAGAATTAAAGAAACCAAAATGGCACACTCAGAGAAAAAAAAGTAAAGTAAAAAGCTAAATTGAACTAAAATTGAAGATGGTTTGCGCGTGGCATCTTTCCATTTAAATAATTAAATATTTAAAAATATTAAATCCAAATTAAATCTAAGAAAAAAAATAAATTACCTAAATTAAAATTAAATACAACATTTTTTAAGTCGATCGATAAAAATCCCCAGGCTTCAGCTAAACATATTTATATCTACAAAAATTACTTACAATTATTTATTACATTTTAACTTATTATTATATTTTTATTTATTTATTGCATGCATGTTCTTTGGTTTAGCTAAAGTAAAGGTTTATGTTCTTAGTCGCTAAATAAATTTTACAATGATTTGCTAAGCAGAAGAAGTAGCCGCAGATAGCGTTGTTTGCGATGTAGGGTAGCACTTTTTGAAGGAGTCAAGCGATGAAAAATGTGAGCTACCAAAGGTAGGGTGGGCAGACCAAGACCTCCACGACATCGAAGGTGGAGCCAGACGAAGGGGAATTAGTAGGGAACGTTAAGTAGTACTTTAATGTGTGTGTTTTTTTTTCTTGACCCGGTTTTCAG